CCAGATACTGTGGAATAATGGACCCAGGGTTAAAAGTGTTATCTTTTCTTCCAATGTTCCATGTGCCTGGTGGAGATCACTCATATATGCCCAGGAAGGAACTGTGCTGAGGACTCTACCCATGGCAGCAATAGTCTTGCTTGAAGGATGTAACATTTGGGCTATGGACCTGAGAGTTCTCAGGGTGTATGTTCTTGGTTCTAAATTGTGATTCTGGTTTGTGTTCAGTGCCTCACATGTAGCGCCCCTGATGGGAAGGCTTGCTGGAGGCATGAAGCCCAGGCAGCCTCTCATTTACCTTCCTTAAAATCATCTTCTGATGCTCTGGATCTGAGTCCTGGGTGGAAGAAAAAGGAGGTTAGTCTTGGAGACAAGAGGGGCTGTAAGGTGGAGGATGGGACTGGCAGGAGTGAGGACAAGAAGAGATAAAATGGAGAACAGACTGTGAACTCAAGGAACAAATTGAATAAAACTGACTGGTTTGGCCTTGGAAGAAAGTATAGAAACTGCATCTAGATGTCAAGTCGGTGGTCTTGTGGGATAGAAGGATAGTCATGGGGCAGAAGATGCACAGATTGCAGTGGGGTTGTGAATTAACTGGACTCTGTTAAAAACTGTAAGAAGTGAGGGCCCTCCCTGGTGGCACAGTGGGTTAAAGCACAGTACTAAGAAGCTTACGCCACTTCCACATGAGTTCGATCCCTGCCTCCCCCAGAGGAGATCCACATGGCGTGGCAGACCTCTCCTGGCCCGCCCGCTGCTCCCCTCAACAGTGTACTTCATCGATCTGCCTGTTCCCTGTTCTGCTCCCTACTCTGTCTCCGGTGGGTCCTCTCATCCTCTGCATCTCTGGCTTGTACCCCCAGTTCTGTATGAATAAATAAATAAATCTTTAAAAAAAATACTGTAAGAAGTGAAGATTATATATGTGGTGGAGAGGCAGAGAGAGGCAAGAGGACCCAGAGATCAGCTAAATATATAACACCGGGTGGGGGCTAGGAGTTTGTATAAATAAGTCACTTAATAGTAAGATCTTATATTGGAAATGCTACCATCTTTAGAGCTGTGTTGCTGTTTACTTCTTCTCTTTCTCAAAGTAAGGCTATACTTGTAATCCAGGATTGCCCATCAAGTTGCTTCATCTATCAAAAGTCTAGCCACAAACTTTGGAAGGAAGTTAACAAAAAATCCTTTGCACATCCACAAACAATGGCTATAGCCCTTCCACAAATCATGTACTGGTTTATGGGAGAGCCCGGTTATGTTCTCAGTTGCAGCTCTGCTAGATTCCAAGTAGCGGGGTCCTTGAGCCCATCGAAACCAAGCTCTTCATGGTCTTATTGAAGGGATTCTGGAGAGGCTTACAAGGAAGGGGAGCCTCCAGCCACTGGGGAGGAGACTAGCATCTGCTCTTTGGGGGCTGCCCATTTCCTATCTGACCTATGCACAGCCTCTGCCCCTTGTCCTTGCAAGTCAGTTGGCTCTCCTTCCGCAGCACCCACAACCTCATCATCGGTGCTGACATCACAGTGTTCGTTAGCACTTAAGCTCTGGGGCTCATCTCTAGCGGGTGGTCATTGTTTTTTTGATTGCAGTTTTGAAAGAGCGTCTGATATTCCATCTCCTTTTTCACAGATGAGTTGCTCTTAATGCTACTCTTGATTGAGCAGGAGATGCCCAAGCATAGTCGGGTGTGGGGTGGTGGCAAGAAGAATGGTTTCCTGTCATAGTGATATTGGAGGCCCACAATCTGTGTTCCCTAGCATTTGAAAGCAATAGCAGACCCTGACATTTCCTCATTTAACTTGCAGATTGCTGTGGCTGGAGTGCAGGATGCATGGGGAGGAGGGGAAATTAGAATGGTCAGCTAGGAAGGGGCCTGAGACTTGGTTCTCTAGAGCCTCTGCTTGGGTCACAGGTCAGAGTAATCAAAGTGTGTCAGATACACTGCTCTGGGTACTAGCCATTGGTCACTGAAGGATTGCCCTGGAGTAATGTCCCTTGGAGACATATAAAAGACTGCTAGAAAGAGAAGGGATAGGTGGCAGAGGGACTCAGAGAGGTTAAGAAGACAGACAGTTTAGCAACCCAGTGCCCTCATCCTCCCCGTTGCCCATCCTCCCCGTTGCCCATCCTCCCCGTTGCCCATCCTCCCCGTTGCCCGGTAAGGCAGGCTCCCAGGTTACTCTCTGCTCGGTTGTGTTTGCAGATAGGGATTTCCTCCTGGCCTGGTCCGCTCTCCTCACAAGGACTTTGTCTTCGGGTGTTCTGTTGACAATAATTATAGCCGATTGCCCAAATACTGTTTTTTCTTTTCCATCTCACCTTATGCCTTTGTTGTTTCTTCAGTTTTGTCCTGTGGTATTTTCATACCTTCAAATGTTTCATTTCAGCTTTTGTTTCATTCTCATAGTTGTTCCTATCAGCATGTCTCCCTTTAGGAGATGGCTCTTGTTTTCCTCCTGGACTTCATCCTTGTGGATTACTTTATCTTTCTTTCCAGTTCTTACTCATGAATTTCCTCTCCCAGAGCCAGCATATCTCAGGCCTGGGCTGAAATGAGGGCGAGCATGAGAAGTGCAAAACCAGGGTTCTGGAATTCCACACTCATTTCCACTAGAAATGTTACCCAGATGGGGAGACACTGGTGAAGGAGAGGAGTTTTAGAGGAAGGAGCATATTTGTTCATGCTGGGGGGAATTTATATGGTACAGTAGTCCTGGAGATGGCCTGTTCAAAAGCCTAGAACTTGGAAGCGCTTCAATTCAGCAATTTCAAGTCTAAAACTGTCTTAAGAAAATAATCATGGACTTCCTTAAAGATTTAGTTTCAAGCACTATTTATAATTAGCAAAAATGTTGGAGATGACTTAAATGCTCAGCCTGGGGGGTGGTGGTGTACAGTTAAGCCTCATAAAGGCATATTATGTTGCCATTAAAATGATACTGCTAATGTCCGCCCTAAACCATGTCTGACTTTATTGCATTTTCATAAAAAGCCGGATGATAAAAGAAAACCAGGAAGGGTGTGTCATCTTGTCAGAGAAGGAATGGATAACTTTTTTCCTTCTTTTGATAATTATATTTCCTAAAATTTCTCAATTGAAAATAAATTTCTTTGGACTAGGAGAAACAATTACTTTAAAGACATGCTCCCACACAATTATAATAATATATGGGTTGAAGATTTAGGCTCAGTTAAAAATGCTCCCAAAATAATTTAGAAATTGAGTCACAATTGTAACAGTATAAACAATATACTTAGGTCAAAGGAAGACCATGAGAAGTTTAATATATTTATTGAGGTCAGTTTCCCATAAGCCTTATCTAAACAAATGACTTGCGCCAGCAGGGAGGGCCTACTTTGGCATTTTTTACCCATAAAGTAAGTATTCATAGCATAAGGATATAAGGACTGGAGTATCTTTTATTTTGCCTCCTCTTTATCACTCTGAATTCCTCAAGTTTGGGTGAAGTTGGCCAATTTGAACCCTGGGAAGGAGGCAATTGCTTCACCAGTTTAGGGAGGTGTTTTACCATACTCCACAAAACAAGAAGATTCAATTAACCATTCAAGCCAAGGCATATAACTAACAGGTACAGGTTTCATGGACTCTGCCCCCACTCCAAATACTGGAACCACTAATCCCATCAATAACAAGGAGAAGCATGCTGGGACGTGAGGGTGGAGCTGAGCAGCCAGGTTGGGATAAAACCAGACTTGTGGGCTCTGGGGGTCTCTTGGCCTGCTGGCTTGCCGCTGATCGTTTTGGCTCTTGATCAGTTTTCAGCGTGCCGGTGTAGTCCAAGTCAGCAGAACTGGTAGGACATTCTAGTTAACTTGTATTTCTTTTCCTTTTCCCCTGGGTTATTCCTTTACCTTTCTCCTTATAAATAAATCCATTATTGTGTGTCCATAATATGATTGAATCGTAAGCGCGTGGGTGAAGACCCACAGACAGGCAACCCAATTCACCTTGGGGTGCCCTGTAACATAACTACAGTATGAATTTATTGGGGGAGTTCACATAATAAATATATAATTCAATTGGCAGCAAGATGGGGAAAGATGGGGGAAGATGGCAAACTGCTTGACAGATTTCTGGAGACACAGTGAGGAAGATCTGACCTATAGATCACCGGGTTGTGTGGCATCTGACAGAAGAGAGCTGCTGCTTCTCAGTCTGGGAGTCCCGAAGGGCTCTGGACTTCTTTAAACATCTCAAATTGCTTCAAATCTGGTGCCCATATTTATACCATTTTTCAGAGGGTTATTATCAAGACCACCCATTTAATTCTGATGTTGCATGTTTATTTATTAATATTGTTTTGCCTTGACTTCCGTGACTGGTCGAAAGGAAGATGGGAGGCAGAAAGGCTGAGCAAGTAGAGTTTATTGCTCCTGGGCAGCAGCTGAGCAGCTGAGTTTATTGCTCCTGAGCAATAAACTCAGCAGCTGAGTTTATTGCTCCTGAGCAGCCCACTCAATAAGGGGGACCTTATATAGGTCCTAACCTCAGATTTCAAAGGGGTGACTCTTTGCTGTGTCTTCGATGTATGGTCCAGTTGTTAGCACATTCAGCTAGTCCCATCCCCGGGTGCAAGGCCCAATTAATTTATCACTCTTGGATGCAAGCCCAGTTTATCAGCATCTTACCACCCTTAGATGCAAGGTCCAGTTTATTACCGCCCTTATCCAGTACTGTCAGTAGATCTTTGGTCACTTCCAACAAATATGTTTATAAAAAAGTGTTGCTTTTAATTAATAATTTAAAGTTGTCAAAGCCACTTCTTTTCAACTATTCCTTTTTTCTGTCAGTCGGAATCATTACAATAGGAAATTCGATGACAATTTCTGCAGTTCTGGAAGGAGCTCAGAAGTGGTGGGAGTGTCCCTGACTGGATTTGGGAGGAGCAAGGGTACTTACCCTCCAGGCAGGTATTAACATATATACCTCTGGTGCTCAGCAGTCTACTTTGCTTTGTTTGTTTTTGTGGCAGGCAGGGTAGAGCCAACTGTGCACAGTTCTGCAGCCCACAGTCCTTAGGAGAAGCTGCGAAGCCATGGAACCCAGCTGAAGTGCACTGGCCTCCTGGAGTCTGCTCCAGCTCTGGTCCCTGGTCTCTGCTCTAGCTCTGAGGTAAGACTCCTTGAATCCCAGCCAGCTTGAATCCCAGAGAGGCCAGAATATCTTTTAATGTGAGAGAGGGTGGAAATCCCCCTCCCCTGAGGCACTGATAAGAAGGACCAGTCATTTGCGGCTCTATCCAATCACCTGTTTCCTCTTCAGGCTTATGAGGGAGGCAAGGTCATCTGTTGCCTAAAGAGGCTTTGATTTTCCAGCGCAGGTGTTTTGGACTCATATTTTCTCAAATTGCCGCTAACATTTGAACTCCAATGTGAATGAATATCCTCATTCACTGCAGCTGATTTGGATGAATGCTTAACTTAGGTGCACCTGCTTTGTTCTGCAAGGGAAATAGAGCTCTATAAGGAAGCACTCTCTTGGTCTCTGGGTCTTTTGTCCCTTCCCCCAACCCCTAAGGGAGACAACCCCTAGTAACAGAAATTATATAAGGATGTTACTGCAAAACATTCCACTAAACCCAATGATTTTGATAACCCAGCTATCTTCTGGTTATAAAGATAACGTGTGCTCATAAAGATTATTTGGAAAAATGCTGATGTATAAACTGATAGTGTTTTGATGAGATAAGATTCAGCGAGCAGAGTCCTTAGGTTACCTCTGAGGAAAGTTTCAACAGAGGTTCCCTCTCAGTGGCACATTGGAGACAAAGACATTTGCAGACCCTGACAGGCAAGCCAAGGTTACATTGTGAAAGACAGATTTATTAAGAAAAAAGGAAGGAAAGGAAAGGAGTCATTTGCACAGAGATAGAAGGACAGTTGTGGAGAAGAGCTGCTGCTGTTACTTTGCAGAGGGAAAAGGTTTGTGAAAAGAAATGACTGCATAGTCACAGGCGGGCAGGCGCCATGCTCTGCCAGTGCAGAAATGTATTGTCTCCCTTTGTGGAACTGTTATCTAGTGTTAAATTTATCCCTTTTAGGATATGATTGGGTTAATTTGTTAGGACAGATGATTTTTCTAGTGGCCTTCAATAAGCATAGCCCCACCTTGCTCTTCTGCTCCAGATAATTTTTATAGCAATCAGCCAGCGCCTAAGAAGCTGCTGTCTGAGAAGTTATCATTTCTATAGCTGGTTTAATGACTCTGTTATCTTTACCCCTACCTCCAGTTTCTGGGCTAAAGATGCCTCCATCCTAATTTTTCTACTCTTAGGCTCCATCATCATAAGCCATGTCTGAAATCCCACACTTACTAACGGTCCTTCAGTAGTTTCCATCAAGGTTACTTTTTAAGCTTTCCCATGGAGGTAGCGAGAGAAAGCAGAAAGAATAGTCAATTAGGAGCTAGGCAAACTTGCTTCCAGTTTGGAGACTCTCAAGAGCTAATTTTTTACATATTTAGGAATTTTGCAGACTAGTTGTCAAACATTGTTGGCAGCTTGAAATTTGCTTTAGTGGGAAAATTTACACATGAAAATTAGCTACCAATCAAGGTTTTTTTTTTTTTTAACTATGCCCTGCTTCCTTTCCTGTGAACAACGGGTAGTCATTATACATGGGTTGGATGAAGGAGTGAATGAGTCTATGTTAAGTCACCCTCCCAACTGTCTATTATCAGTTATGATCTCATCAGATATTTCTAGTCAGGGTCCCACAAGACAGTGAAAATGAGATGTTTTGTATGCTGTGTGGCTCCCTGCCATGGTGGTTTAGTAGACTGGTAAATCTTTGATTTATTGATGAAGAAAAGTCAACTGGCACTTGCCTCTTTAGCTGTGGCTCCTTAGGGAATCTGCGAGTTACTGACACCCTTTCCGAAAGGGAAATGAAAACTCTTCATTTACTAAACAACATCTGGGGCAAATTTACTTCCTGGAAAAATAAGTTGGTTAGAGAAGTGTGAAGGGGAAGCCTGCATTCATTGCTAAATGTGAAATCAGTTCTTGACTCATAGTTCAAAGGGGAGTGGTATAGGGAGTGGGAATAGAAGGGACATTTCCTGCCAAATATAAAATTTAAACAAAAGCCTCTTTCTTTTCCTCTGAGCTGTCAGCAGACTAGAGCTAATTAAGTCAGCACAATGGAGTCCCAGTCTCTTCCCTTCTTTTTCCTTTCTGAACCTGTGATTTCTCTCTCCATCTCTCAGGGGTCCTAAAGGAAGGTGTTGGGAGAGGGTGGTACATCAGTTAAGGACCGATTTGTCTTTGTAAAATTGAGTTTTGAAAATTCCAAAGGTGGGAAGGACTCTGGAGTCCATCTGGTCCCACATTTCTCATTTTTTTTTTTTAAAGATTTATTTATTTGTTCATACGGAACTGGGGTACAGGCCAGAGGCGCAGGGGCAGCGAGAGGCTTCACCAGAGACAGAGTGGGGAGCAGAACAGGCCGATCTACGCAGTACACTGCTGAGGGGAGCAGCGGGCGGGTCAGGAGGGGCAGGCAGGGATCGAACTCATGCGGAAATGGCTTTAGCTTCTCAGTGCTGTGCTTTAACCCGCTGCGCCACCAGGGAGGGCCCCCACATTCTCGTTTTAAGAAGTCAGGTTACACAGTTGATAATTCTGGGTGCCAAGGTGAAGTTATACGCTCCTGGGAGGAGGGGGCCCCGGCTGGAGAGATGGGCACTGCTTAGAAGGCCTCTTGATCCCTTGTATATATATGACTGGCCAGGGGCCAGGGTGGGTGGTCCTCAGGTGGCAGCCCTGCCTCTGCTTCTCTCAGCCTTTCACCGAACCTGCTGCCACAGCCCCAGTGATGTCTTGAGGTCCCCTTTGGTGTACTGGAATTAGTCCTTTCCTCATCAGGGGCTTGATTTCCCAGTTCAGTGAAATTGATGTTGTCTTTTGGAGTTCGGGGTCCTTGGGTTCATTCTGGGAAAGTGAGCTCCCCTTTCAGCGGCACAAGGCAAGGTTTTCCATGAGACAGAGACTGAGTTATATTTAAAGAGTAAGTTTATTAAAAAGAAACGGGAGAGGAAAAGACACTTACTTGCATAGGCACAAGTGGGCAGGAAGACCTGTCCTGGAAGGGACAGGTTTGCAGAGAGAGAGAGAGAGAGAGAGAGAGACCTGCATGGCTGCAGGCAGATGGCCTTAGGAGAGCGGGCCCCCCACTGGGGAGGTCAGTGCAGAGAAGTCCAGGCATGGTCACGAGCAGGCAGGAGGCTGCTGCCCTGCAGAGGGAGTGAGCGGGTGGGAAGAAGCACCTGCATAGACACAGGTGGTCAGAGGAGCAGCTGCCCCTTGCTGGTGGAGAGACTGCCCTGGTATAGACTGCTTCTTTTTGGGAGGGGCTCACTCCTTGTGAGCCTGTTTGCTGACTTTGAATAGAATCTGAAAGAGATTCCTGATGGCTTCATCTCCTTGTCCTTCTCCTTTACCTTTTGGGTCTGAGCTTCAGGCACAGCCCCTAATAGTCTGTGATCTGCTGGGATCTCCTGCAGAGATTCAGGTATCCCTGAGACCTTGATTTTATGGCTGTGCCAGTTGCTGCACTAGCCCCTTCTGCTCATCCCTCCCCTTTGTGTGATTCAGTCTTGTGATGCCTCCGCTGCATTCCTTCCTCCTTCTGCATTCCTTCCTCCTTCCAAACCTTGAAGGTCTAAAGGCACAGAAGGGAACAGCATTGCTTGATCTCAGGATGGCTCCAGGTGTTACAGGACAGGGAGAGAGGGGCACCCCTGAAGCTCCAAACCTGCTCTAAGTGGGTTCTGCCATCTGCCGTGTCAAGACAAAACATAAAACTTTAATGAAAAGGGACTTTAATACAGTGAATATACAATATGGAACGCAAAAAATATAACTTCTAAATCAAACATCTGAAGTTACCCATCCCCTTGTGGGCAAAAGTCAACCCAAAAGGGATTGGACCGAAGCAAGGCCTGAAAATCCTCCACTAGACTAAAGCACCTTGTGGTCCGGACCCATAAGAAATGTCAGAAAGGGCCAGACAAGTCTGGGAGGAAAAGAACAAAATCAAAACCAATATAAACAATGCCATAGTCACCTCCCGACAGGTATCTTACCCACATCTGCCTTAGCCAGTCCAGGGCCAGGAAACAAGCACGGTTTCTTCATCACATGCTTGTTGCTCCATGTGGCTTCCTCAGGTCTCCTTGTTCTCCATGCTGCTTCCTTTTCTCTCCTGATTCCTTCTCTTCTCTCCTTTTTTCTCTGCTCAGCTCCACCCTTCTTCTGGGTGGGGCAGGGAACCTGGAACTTCCCCTTTTCCTAGGGACCACCCTGATACACAGGAAGGAGCTTTGTCTTCTCATCCCATTTTGCAGTCAACTAACGGTAGACGGTAGGTTTTTCAAACCCTTGTGGTGGATGTGGAAATGGAGTCTTACAGAAGATTTCACAGCTCAGAAACAAATGAGATGTAAATTGAGCCGGCTGCAACAGCCACAGCTTTTCAAGGTTAGGGAGTGCCCTTTATAGTTAGTACTTGCTCTTGGGGTGGGGAGTTCCCAGATCCAGTTCCAGCCAGCCTGGAGGGCCCTTTCCTCTGGAAAGTCATTGGGACATCATTGTGTTTCTGAAGCTTTGTGAAAAGCTGCAGCTGAAAGCACTTGGAGCTTTCCAAAAAGCTGCACTTTCTTTCAAATTCCAGAGCTATTCCTTGCACAGTAGGAGTGTCAGCCCAGGGAGCATCCCTAGAGCCCCTTGGCATATTCCTCTCATTCAGTTGACACCCAAGGTGAGGCAGAGTGCTGGTGGCCCCACGTGTGTCAGCCAGTTAGAAGTGGCTCTCCCCAGTGAGCTCTTTCCAGGGGGAACTGAGGTGGGTGTTTGTGTTTCCTCCATGTTGGGGAAGGAGATTATCCTCTTGGCAAGAGGGATTTTATTCAGTTCCATAGATTATTTCCTGAAGGCCTACTGCATACTAACCCAAATATCCAGGCCTGTTTGGACAAGAGAATATGGCCAGGACTTGGGCATACAGGTGTGAGTGGGACCAGGGGAGCTGCCTCTGCCTCAAGAGTGCTTCTTCCAGCTACTTAGCCAACGGGCAATGGCCTGAGAAAGGCAGTGTTAGGCCACGTTGTAGTGC